AAAATATTTATGCAAATTACCCATACAGTAGGACACAAATTAAGCCTTAGCAAATTTTAAATAATATCTACCATATAGACTACCTTTATGAACAAATAAGAATTATATTAAAAATCAAGTTTTAAGAAATAACTTTAAATTTCAGTGGAGATATAAGGGTTAATTTGTCCAAGACTGACCACAACTCTTTTCCAGAGAGAATTGCGTTCTACAAAGTTCCAAGGATAGTGGTTAAGTTCTAATTTAGAAAAACTACCCAAATAGATGGAAAGATAGATCATGTTTACATTTAGGGATCCCTATCATCTCATTTCTTCATCATATAATCCATAAATGAATGTGATTCCCATCAAAATTCCAATAAAATTTCTGAAGAAAATGAACAAGATAATGCTGAATACGGAAGGGTAAAGGTCAAGAATAGCCTAAAACTTAGGGCCGGCCTGTGGCCGAATGGTTAAGTTCATGCGTTCCACTTTGGTGGCCCAGGGTTTTGCCAGTTCAGATCCTGGGAGCGGACATAGCACCGCTCATTAAGCCATGCTGAGGTGGCACCCCACATGCCACAATTAGAAGGACCCACAGCTAAAAGTATACAACTATGTACCAGAGGGCTTTGGGAAGAAAAAGGAAAAATAAAAATCTTAAAAAAAAAAAAAAAGAATAGCCTAAAATTCATAAGGAAATATAAGACTGGGGGATTCACCATAATAGATCATCAAAACTCAATAGTATAGGAATTTAGTAATGTAGACATGAAGTATCAAGGTAAAGATGATTAAGTAAACAAACAAATTAAAAAGAAAACAGAAAAAGAGATCCACACAAATATGGAAGCCTCATAAGTGAGAGAGATGGCACTGAATATTAATATATAAAAAGATACAATAAATTATATTGTAAAAATTTACTTTCTACATGGGAAAAGAATGAATTGGAAGCTCACTTCACACTATGCCCGTATATGAATTTCCTGTTGATTATGCTTCACGTCTGGCAAGTGAAACAGGCTTTCCTAAAATTCTAGAGAGAGTTTATTACTTCCAAACTTGTAACTAAAAGATAAAATGAGAAAAAACCCTCCATTTCAAATATTTTTAACATAGTTTTATCTGAAAGCACTGTGTAAATATGAAAAGCAAAGTTTCAAAGTATTTAGAATAAGGTATCAAATAATGATTTTTTGACTTTGAGGTGAAAATATTTCTTAAGGTCAGAAAAGCGCAAAGGGAAATATTTATAACTTTTACTACATTAAAACTGAAGTTTCTCTTCTTCAGAAGTTACTTTACAGAAATAAGAGAAGATTGGGTAAAAAGATTTTTAACATACATAATTTTAAAATATTTGGTATCCATAATATACAAAAAATTATTACAAATCAATAAAAAATAATCACTCATCATATAGGGGAAAAATAATGAGCAGAATTTTCACGGAAAAGAAAATAGAAATGATTTCCCAAAAGCCATTAAAATATGCTAAGTTTTACTAATAATTATGGATTAATTTTAAAAATACATAATGAGATATAATTAAAGAACCTTATAAAAGAAAGTGGCCAAAAAAGGGGCACGTGTAGTTTTAAGTCTAGGAACGCAAACTGATACAGAAATATATATATTATTGCCTTTTCTATACTATTGTTTCTTTTCACCATTTTATTATTTCCTTTTGCTGTGTAGTAAATGAGATGTGGCAGAAGAGGAAGGCAAGAAAGATGAGTCATAAAGGAAATTCAGAGAGGACTCAACCCAGCATTCCTAGTTTAATGATGAAGGGAACCACCAGCCCGGGAATGCAGGCAGCCTCCAAAAAGTGAGAACAATCCTAGGCTGACAGCCACCAAAGAAACAAGGACCTCAGTTCTAAAACCCAGGAACTAAATCTTGCCAAAACTGAATAAGCTTGAAATCAGATTCATGCCGGAGTCTGCAGAAAGAAATGTGGGGTTGCTGATACCTTGATTTCAGTCTTGGAAGTACCTGGAGCACAGAACAAGCTAAGCCATGACCCAGAGAAACTCTGAGATAATAAATGTGTGCTGTTGGAAATACAATGGATTATAAGAGATTACTATGAAAAACTATATGACAACAAAATGGATAACCTAGAAGAAATGGATAAATTCTCAGGCTCTTACAACCTCCCAAAGCTAAGGCAAGAAGAAGCAGACAATCTGAACAGACCAATCACAAGGAAAGAGATTGAAACAGCAATCAAAACATCCCAAAGAATATAACCCCAGGACCAGACAGCTTTCCTGGGGAATTCCACCAAACTTTCCGAGAAGATTTAATACCTATACCTTTCAAGCTATTCCAAAACATGAGGGAGGGTGGATACTTCCTAACACATTCTACGAGGCCAACATCACGCTGACACCAAAGCCTGACAAGGACAGCACGAAAAAGGAGAACTACAGGCCAATATCACTGACGAACATAGACGCAAAAATTCTCAACAAAATTTTGGCAAGCCAAATTCAGTAATTCATCAAAAGGATCATACATCATGATCAAGTGGGATTCACACCAGGACACAGGATGGTTCAACATCCACAAATCAATCAACGTGATACACCACATCAACAAACTGAGGAATAAAAACCGCATGATCATCTCAATAGATGCAGACAAAGCATCTGACAAGACCCAACAGCCATTTATGATAAAAACTCTGAACAAAATGGGGATAGAAGGAAACTACCTCAACATAATAAAGGCCATATATGACAAACTCACAGCCAACATCATTCTCAGTGGGCAAACCTAAGCACCACCCCCTGAAAACAGGAATGAGACAAGGATGCCCTCTATCACCACTCTTATTCAACATAGTACTGGAGGTTTTGGCCAGAGCAATTAGGCAAGAGAAAGGAATAAAAGGAATCCAAATAGGGAGAGAAGAAGTGAAACTCTCACTGTTTGCAGACTACATGATCTTATATACAGAAAACCCCAAAAGATCCATTAGAAAACTTTTAGAAATAATCAACAAGTACAGCAAAGTTTCAGGGTATAAAATCAACTTACATAAATCAGTAGCATTTCTATACTCTAATAATGAACTAACAGAAAAAGAACTCAAGAACACAATCCCATTCACAATCGCAACAAAAAGAATAAAATACCTCGGGGTGAATTTAACTAAGGAAGTGAAAGACCCATACAACAAAAACTACAAGGCTTTCCTGAAAGAAATGGATGACGACATAAAGAGACAGAAAGACATTCCATGTACGTGGATTGGAAGAATAAACATAGTTAAAATGTCCATACTACCTAAAGCAATCTACAGATTCAACGCAATCCCAATCAGAATCCCAATGACATTCTTTACAGAAATAGAACAAAGAATCCTAAAATTCATATGGGCCAACAAAAGACCCTGTATTGCTAAAGCAATCCTGAGAAAAAAGAACAAAACTGGAGGCATCACAATCCCTGACTTCAAAACATACTACTAAGCTACAGTAATCAAAACAGCTTGGTACTGGTACAAAAACAGGTGCACAGATCAATGGAACAGAATTGAAAGCCCAGAAATAAAACCACTCATCTATGGACAGCTTATCTTCAACAAAGGAGCTGAGGGCCTGCAATGGAGAAAAGAGAGTCTTTTCAACAAATGGTGCTGGGAAAACTGGAAAGCCACATGTAAAAGAATGAAAATTGACCATTCTTTATCATGACTAACAAAAATAAACTCAAAATGGATCAAAGACCTAAAGGTAAGACCTGAAACCATAAGGCTTCCAGAAGAAAATATAGGCAGTACACTCTGACATCAGTATTAAAAGGATCTTTTCAGACACCGTGTCTTCTCAGACAAGGGAAACAATAGAAAGAATAAACATATAGGACTTTATCAGACTAAAGAGCTTCTTCAAGGCAAGGGAAAACAGGATTGAAACAAAAAAACAACCCAATAATTGGGAAAAAATATTTGCAAGTCATATATCTGACAAAGGGTTAATCTCCATAATATATAAAGAACTCACACAACTCAACAACAAAAAACCAAACAACCTGATGAAAAAATGGGCAGGAGACATGAACAGACATTTCTCCAAAGAAGATATACGTATGGTCAACAGGCACATGAAAAGATGTTCATCATCACTGATCATCAGGGAAATGCAAATCAAAACTACACTAAGATATCACCTTATATCCATTAGAATGGCAAAAATAACAAAAACAAAAAGTAACAAATGTTGGAGAGGTTGTGGAGAAAAAGAAACCCTAATACACTGCTGGTGGGAATGCAAACTGGTGCAGCCACTATGGAAAACAGTACGGAGATTTCTGAAAAAATTAAAAATAGAAATACCATATGACCCAGGCATCCCACTACTGGGTATCTATCCAAAGAGCTTGAAGTCAGCAATTCCAAAAGTCTCACACACCCCTATGTTCATTGCAGCATTATTTACAATAGCCAAGATGTGGAAGCAACTTAAGTGCCCATCAACTGATGATTGGATAAAGAAGATATGGTGTATATATATATAGTGGAATACTACTCAGCCATAAAAAATAATAATCCCATTCACAACAACATGGATGGACCTTGAGGGAATTATGTTAAGTGAAATAAGCCAGATAGAGAAGGACAATCTCTGTATGACTCCACTCACATGAGGAAGTTAAACCTGTAGACAAAGAGAACAGATTAGTGGCTACCAGGGGAAAGGGGGGTGGGGGCTGGGCACAAAGGGTGAAGGGGTGCACCTACAACATGACTGAGAAACAATAATGTACAACTGAAATTTCACCAGGTTGTCAACTATCATAAACTCAATAAAAATTAACTTAAAAAAATGTGTGCTGTTGTAAGCTGCTAAAATTCTGGTAATTTGTTACGCATCAATAGAAAACCAACATAGACATAGAACTGGATAACTGCTATTTAAATATTTTCAGAGAGTAAATTTTAATCACTATGGCTTGAAACGAAAATCAATATTTTTTAAATTTTTAAATATGAAAACTCACCTTTTTTGATAAAGAAGATAATTCATTTGTTGATGTCTTTGTTTCCTTCAATACTTCAGTCACTGCTTCTTCATTCTCCTCAATATTAGACCAAATCTCGTGTATTGATGTAGAGTAGTGAACACCTAGATGGCTAAGTTTATTTATCTCTTTCCTAAGGAACAAAACACAGTTGATTTTATCCGTATTGAAAGGAAAATTATATTTAAAATTATATTTAAATTAGCATCTGACTTATCAATGTAAATCAATGGAATTTGTCTACTCCTAAAATTTCTCTCGTCCCAAAGCAACTCCTGAAAAGTACCACTTAGATATCAAGAAGCAAATAGTGAGAAAAAAACTCATCAGTAGTATTTATAGTTTCAATGGAAAGGAATTGAGAGAAAAGTGCTTTGCAAATTATTTAAAATAAATCACTTTTTGATTGGATTTCAGGTGAGAGACCTAAGCATCTTTGATTCACAGGTTGGATAGTAAAGGGATGGAAAGGTAAGCAAAAAAGAAAAGAAGATATAGAAGTAAAACGACCACACGTTATTAAAGGCCTCATCTACTGTTTGTCTCCCTCAGTCTTAGAGGTAAAATGAGGGAAAGTGCAGCTTAGGAAAACACGGGGCTTATTTAAAGAGAAGTCATTGCCAATGAGTTCTTTGTTCCTATGTGACTTTACACAAGGAAGACCAGTGCCAATCTGTGAACCACATAATCTTTTATCTTATCTGGTAGGTAGAAAACAAACTCCAAACAAAAGTCTCTTTAGACAATGGTATTATAGTTTATGAAAAAAGTACAACGAGAAAGTGACAAAATTATCATTTTCATGAAATATCAGCAAATAATACAGATAACTCCAACTTTTTTGCAGACACCATAAACAAAACAATAGACTGAGAGATTATTTGAAACCCATATAAGAGATCAAAAAGTAATAAAATCCTATAAATCAATATAGAATAGAAAAATTATCCAAGACACAAATGAGCAGAGAAGATAGATAAGAACTCACAAGAAAATAAATGTCAACGGTCAGTAAATATATGACGTGCTTATTGATTTGGCCCAGGTTCTCATGCACTAAACCTGATTTTAGGAGTAGAGTCAAATGAAACTGAAAGATACAACCTTACTACAGAAACAAAAGTTAAAACAACAAACAAATAGGCAAGAAAAAGATTCTTCTTTATGCTTCCATGTCTGAAGAGTATAAGCCTCCCTACGAGAATTCTGGAAGCCAGGGAGATTGGGAGCCTCAGCATTCAAAATGTATGTTTGGTTAAATTTCCTTCTTTTGAAATTAATTTTTCTTCTCTCAATCGTATCTATTTGCCCCAGTCCAGAAAATAAACTATAACCTTTCACTATGAAGTGGACAATTGCCCAGTGTCATGGAAGGCAGAAGCTAAGTATTACTTTACTTGTCTCCTTATCGCTATTTCCTGAAGAAGTTGATGCCCCCAATTCCTCAGCTCTTTAAGAATTTTTCAATGTAAAAATTTGCTACTGGGTTTGCCCCCACTGTTAGTTTAGATATCATCATTCTTATAGTTGCTAAATCAGAATAAATTTAGAAGAATAAAATGGGAAGAATCACTCTATGTTTGTTAATAATTACTATAAAGTAGAGTCAAGACACCAAAGACTATATGCTGTGTGTTTCCATTCATCTGGAATGCAAGAACAGACAAAACTAACTATAGTCATAGACGTCAGAATGAAGATTATCTCTTTGAGGAGGTGGTATGGACTGGAAAGGAGAACAGGAGAAACGTCTGGTACACTGGAAAGTTTCTATATCTTAAACTGGGGCATGGTTACATGAGCATATACGTATTTAACAAAGTCATCAGTCTGTACTCTTGTTAGCGCACATAATCATGTTTCCGTATGTGAGTTAATTCTCAACAAATTAAAAAATAGTGAAGGACAATGAAACATATCTTGAAAATTTTATTTAATAAATAATTTATGACTCCTCTAATGCCTATAACTTTTGAAAAATATTCTTGAATGAGAAGAAAATCAATAAAGATGGAAGTTATATGATAAAATGAATAAAAGTGAGTACAGGAATTAATAAAAATGTGTCTTCATGTTTGTTTAAATATTAGTTGTAAAAGCCACCAACTAATTTTTATATTAAAAACTGGGAAGGAGAAACTTTAGAAAATGTTACAAGATGGAGAATGTTGTATTTGCAATTAATAGTAGCTAAGATCTGTTTTATGCCAGATAGAAGAATGAAATGTTGAATATATATGCAAATGTATATATCCAGAGATAGATAAATGATTGAAATAGAAATAGGGATAGAAACACAATCGATGGCTTCAAGGTATGTAAAATCAGAAAAAGAATGGAAAATTGAGGGCATTAAGGTCTCAATTCTTCACCCATTCCTGTATCCACTTCCTTTGCTGTGTAACTTTGTAAGATTGTCTGACTCTGACTTTGAGCATAGCCATTTGATTTGCCACTGTTATTTGGGTTTTAGCAAATGGGATATAAGCAGAGGCTTATGAAGTCCATGTGTGATTGTGCTTGCTTGCTCTCCTCCTCTCCTATTATGAGAACATTTCCCACAGATTGGAGAAACAGAGTGTAGCCAGATCTCCCCAGCCGTCTCAGAGAAGGCTTTCCTACAGCAGCAGTGAGCCGGCCAAGCCTCACAATAATAGTAGATAAATAAAAATAAAAGAACACATCTTTTAAGAAAATAATGATCAGTTTTACACAAAAGCACAGAAATCAGTCCTATGCACCCTGGAAGAATCAACCTAAAATAGAACCAAACAAAAAGACTTTAACTAAAGAAATAAAATAAGATCTGCCAATGAAATTCTAATCAGGAGGAATCTTTTGGAATATCAAACAAAAATGTAATTTGAGGAATGAAATGCTAAAGAGATTAAAATAGCATGTGTGTATATACGTGCATATATATAAAAATCCACTATCAAGATAGAAAAATATGAACTCATATGAACTTAATATAGCCTAGAAATACATAAATTGAGCACTGACAGAGTTATAAAAATAAATTGACTAACGTAAGATTTTAAAATATTTGTGTCAGAAAATGATAGATCAAGCAGATGAAGGTAAGTAAAACACTCCTGCTATCACATTTCTGGTTGTTACAGGTTGATTCTCAAGAGTTGTTGGACTGAAGCCTGGATTGTTTCCTTGCTATGTGGGCTTCTCCACAGAGCATCTCAAAACACGGCAGCTTGATTCATCAGAGCAAATAGGGAAGAGAGCAAGAAAGAGAGTGTTAGCAAGACAGAAGTCACAGTTTTTATAACCTAAACATAAATGTGACATCCCATCACTTTTGCTTTACTTAATTCATTAGCAGCAACTCACTGGGTCCGGCCTGCATGCAAGGGGAATGATTTTACAAGGGAGAGAATATCAGGAGGCAGAGGTCATTGAAAGCTTCTAACAAGAAGCTGCTCATCAGAGCCCTTTGGTCAATTGCATTTTTTGTAGTTGGAGGTCTGTGAGGTTCGTTCTTATGGCCTTCACACTAGACCCAGAATAAAAGAGAATTATTTAAATGGATAATAAGCCAGAAGAAATTCTTTAGAAAGCTTGAAAATGTAGAAAATAATCAAGGGGCATAGCAAATGCAATGAGAAAAAACAATATATGCCTAATTTGAGTTCTAGAAGAAATAGGAAGAAAATCGAACCAAGGCATTGTTTGAAGAGAATACCCAAGGATAAAGAAAATTCTAGTATGTAGTTTCAATGAGACAAGAAGACTAAGAAATCCCCAAAGAATAAATAAAAATTGATCCACACCTAGAGTATCTTAAAAATAAAATTCATAAACTTCCAAAACCAAGATATGATCTTAAAAACAGCCAAAGGAAGAATATAGCTTAGCTGCATGGCAGTGAGTCAAATGGTCAACATAATCCTTTTTTTTTTTTTTTTTTTTGGTGAGGAAGATTAGCCCTGAGCTAATATCTGTTGCCAATCCTCCTCTTTTTCCTGAGGAATCTTGGCCCTGAGCCAACATCTGTGCCCATCTTCCTCTATTTCATGTGTGATGCCTGCCACAGCATGGCTTGATAAGCCATGCATGGGTTCAAACCAGCGAACCCCAGGCCAACTCCTTGGTCAGTAGTCTGGCAATGTAAGTTTGCATGTGGTGATCAATAGGATTTCCTACTAAAAGAATATAAACAGAATAATAACCACCAAACAAGAGGAAGGAAAAATAAAATGATAACAATAACTAATGTGAAAGAAGACAATAAAATAGAAAAAGAAATAAAACAAATGGGCCAAATAGAAAAAAACAATGGTAGTTTAAATCCAAATATAGTAGTGATTTGTGAATGCATTTAATGGTCCACCTTTAAAAATGTTTTCAAACTGATAAAAAAAAAAAATATCTACACGATGGTTATAAAATATATAAAACAGAAGGACTCAAAAATATTGAAATTTAAAGAATTGAAAATATTTCCCAAATATCAAAAGAAAGCTAAGGCAAAAAGTACTGAAGAGTCAAAGAAGGTCATTTCACGATGATGAAAGAAGTTAATCATCTCCCAGGAAGATGTAACCGCTTTAAGCTTGTATGAACCTGATCAGGAGAGCCTCAAAATATGGGAAGCGAAAACTGACAGAATTTAAAAAATAAAAAGATGTAGATAGATACACCATCAAAGTGGGTGATTTTATCCCACTTTTCTCAATATTTAACAGAAAAAGCCAGTAAAAATCAGTAATGTTATGAAACAGTGCTTCTCAAACATCACCTTATCATTTAAAAGTGTAGATTCTCATTCAATAGGTCTGAATTGAAACTGAGATTCTGCATTTTGAACAAGTAGCCAGGTAAAGCTGACGTTGTTGGTCCACAGACCACACTTGAAATAGCAAGGATATACAAAGATTAACCTCCATGATTAGCAAACTTGACCTAATAAAACACTAAAGAACAATACATTCAATAAGTAAAGTACACCAGGAATATTTTCAAGTACACAATGAAAATTTAAATAAAAACCCATGTCACTTAGCCAAAAATTAAGACTCAACCATTTCCAATGGGTTGAAATTATACAATGTTCTCTCACCAAAATACAATTCAGCTGGAAAGCAATAATAAAAAGATAACTAGAAAATTAGAAATTCATCATGGAAATAAAAAACTAGAAATTCATCATGGAAATTTAAAAACTATATTTCTTAATAACCCATGGGTCAAAGAAGAAATCATAATGAAAATTAGAAAATATACATAACTGAATGACAATGAATATATAACAAATCATGTGAGTTATAAAAGTGATCTATTTATTAAATAATAGATAATGTTTAAGCACACATTGAAACAGACATTGGACATAAGGAAATATAAACATCTTAATAAATGGATATTTTTTAGATCATAGGATTATGTATAAATTTTGTGTTCTTAACTTTACTTATATTTACTTGATTCTAGCTCCATAATGAATATGAGTTTTTCTATACTAAATCACTGATCAATTTGAATAAATAAAAATGTTATTAGGTCACACAGAACCATAAAGAATATAAAGCCAACAAGAGGAATAAGAAGAATACAGCAGTTCCCTCTTATCTTCTGAGGATATACATTCCAAAAGCCCCAGGGGCTGCCTGAAGCCACGGATAGTACTGAACCCTATATGTACGATGTTTTTTCCTATACATACATACCTATGATAAAGTTTAATTTATAAATTCGGCACAGTAAAATATTAACAACAATAACTTCTCTTTGGCATATCCAAACTACCAGCAGCACTACTCTTGCACTTTGGGCCATTATTAAGTAAAGCAAGGGGTACTTGAACACAAGCACTGTGATGCTGCCACAGTCGATCTGATAACTGAGATGGCACTAAGTGACTAACAGGTGAGCAGTGCATACAGCCTGGATATGCTGGACAAAGGGATGATTCACCTCCAGGGCAGAACAGAGCAGGATGGTTTGAGATTTCATTATGTTACTCAGAATGGCATGCAATTTAAAACTTATGAACTGTTTATTTCTGGAATTTTCCATTTAATATTTTTGGACTGCAACTGACTGTGGGTAACTGAAACTGTGAAAAAGGAAATCATGGATAAGCGGGGACTACTGTATCATAAAACACAAATACATCAGAAATGTAATAAAAACCACTTCAATTACTAATATGCAAAATACAATGGCTATATATATATTTTAAAATATTCCATTTTATTAGAAATCAAGTAAATGAAGTTAATCAGACGCTATGTTTATAATTAATGCAAGGTTATATAATTTTTTTCTAATAATATCCCATGCTGGAAATTTTTTTTTTAAAAAAGTCACTTTTGCACATAGATAGCAGGGATGTATATTGTTATGCCATATCCATAAGCAATTTGGCATTTTGTACGAAGAGCTTTAAAGGACACAGAAAAATAGTGCTTTAGGAATTTATACACAGGTAATTTACATATGTAAAAGATAGGTACTTTAATTTATATATAAACTTGATGATAAGATAAATATGGGTAACTCAGATTCTTTTCTTTCTCTTTATCTGAATTTTTTATACAAGAATATAAATTACACTTTTAACTAATATTTTACTTCTACATGCTATAAGTATTTGTGAAAAATTCTTACTTGTAGGCTTCTATGCTTATTTTAGTATTAGCAATATCCTTTTCCATCTCTTCTCTAAGTTGTATAGCATTCAATTTGGCAGTTTTGCGGCTTTCTATAGTTTCTTCAAGTTCTTCATGAACTTGTTTGTATAGTCCCATTACCTAGAAATAAAAAATATTTTTGCTAATATAAGCACTTAATGGCTAATTAAAAGAATCAGGCAAGAGAAAGATCAGAGAAGGGGCTTAAACTTAGAGTAGTTTTGATTTAGATAAAAAGTCCTTTACATCGATTTTCTTCCCATATTTACTCTAGTGTTGAGCACAGTAGAGAGATTTGGGTTTCCTTTACCCTGAAAGGCATCAATACTATGTATGCATAGAAGCTACTGAAGACAATAACTTAAATATCCCAGTTAACATTATGAAAATAAAATCATTATCTTTTCACCCACAAAAACTCCTACTTTTTATTGTTTTTATTATTCAACTAATACTTTATTGTGGAAAAATCAGAAAACACAGATGAAAAAATAAAATAAAATCACTTGTAATCCTCTCACTCAGGAATAACCATTATTGTCTTAATGTAAAGGTCCAAAACATTCCATTTTTATTGTGTTTATTAATTATCAAATATCATAAATATTCTTCTTTCTCTTTCCATCTTTCCCTTCTCTGTAAAACTCAGGAGAAGGGTGGTTGTAGAGGTCATGGTTGGAACTACAGGTCTGGATGGTCTGTGGAAAGTTGGATGGAGAGCAGTAGGAGGAGGCACTAGGGAGTGAGCAGTCCTTTACCCAGAAGGTCAAGTGGTCAATTGATATGAGGCAGTTGCCTCCTAGAAAAAAGTAATAATTTTCATTAATTCTTAGAATACCACAGATAGTAGTAACCTCTACAAGATTTTCCTTTAGGCACAGAATAATAGGGGTATACACTTTGGCAGAGAACAAGGAGTACACCAGGATAACAGGATAAGCAAACAAAAACCTCAGGAAATATAATAGAATTCCTAATACCAAAAGAAGAAAAGCAATAAATAATACATTGTGTCCAATTTGTCAGCACCTTTAGAAGAGGCAGCTTTTAGGCATCGCTGGAGTGGGGGTCTCACGGTCAAGGACCAGTGTGACATCATATGAGCCAAATTCATCTATCTCCAAGGCAAGATCTTGGACTGGTTCATGGTGGGACAGGTACAGGCATACCTCAGAGATATTGCAGGTTTGGTTTCAGACCACTACAATAAATTGAGTATCACAATAAAGTGAGTCACAGGAATTTTTTAGTTTCCCAGTGCACATAAAAGTTATGTTTACACTATACTGTAGTCTATTAAGTGTTTAAAAGCATTATGTCTAAAAAAGAAATCTTCACACCTTAATTTAAAAATACTTTATTGCAAAAAAAAGTAACCATCAATTGAACCTTCAGCAAATTGTAGTCTTTTTGCTGGTGGAGGGTTTTGCCTCGATACTGATGGCTGCTGATTGATCAGAGTGGTGGTTACTGAAGCCTGGGGTGGCTGTGGCAATTCTTAAAAATAAGACAACAATGAAGTTTGTTGCATTGACTGACTCGTCCTTTCACAAATGCTTTCTCTGTAGCATGCACTGCAGTTTGATAGCATTTTACCCACAGCAGAAGTTCTTTCAAAACTGGAGTAAATCCTGTCAAACTCTGCCACTGCTTTATCAACTAAGTTTATGTAATATTCTAAATCCTTTGTTGTCATTTCAACAATCTTCACAGCATCTTCACCAGGAGCAGATTCCATCTCAAGAAACCACTTTCTTTGCTCATCCATCAGAAGCAACTTCTCGTCACTAAAGATTTATCATGAGATTGCAGCAATTCACTTACGTCTTCAGGCTTGACTTCTAATTCCAGTTTTCTCGCTATTTCTACCACATCTGCAGTAATTCTTCCACTGAAGTCTTGAGCCCCTCAAAGTCATCACAAGAGATGAAATCAATCTCTTAACGCATTATAATTAAAAATGTCAAGAATTAAAATAAAGACAGATGCCTAAAAGCTGCAAGAGAAAGCAATAAGTTACATACAAAGGAAACTCCATATGGCTATCAGCTGACTCAGCAGAAACTTTACAGACTAGAAGGGAGTGGTATGATATACGTAAAGTGCTAAAAGGAAAAAACCTACAGCCAAGAACACTGAACCCAGCAAAGTTATCATTCAGGATGGAAGGAGAAATAAAGAGTTTTCCAGGGACCTGCCCCATGGCTGACTGGTTAAGTTCATACACTCTGCTTTGGCAGCCCCAAGTTTCACTTGTTTGGATCCTGGGTGTGGGCACGGCACTGCTCATCAAGCCATACTGAGGCAGCATCCCACATAGTACAACTAGAGGCACTCACAACCAGAATATAAAACTATGTACTGGGGGGTCTTGTGGAGAAAAGGAAGAAGAAGAAGAAAAAAGATTGGCAACAGTTGTTGGCTCAGGTGCCAATCTTAAAAAAAAAAAAAAGAGTTTTCCAAATAAGCAAAAACTACAGGATTTCATCACTACTAAACTGGCCTTACAAACAATGTTAAAGGAACTTATGTAAGTGGAAAAGGCAAGGCCACAAATAGGAATAATAAAATTATTAAAGAAAAAATATCACTAGTAAAGGCAAATATATAGTAAAGGTGGTGGATTAACCACCTGTAAAGCTAGAATGAAGGCCAAAAGACAGGCATACTAAAATTATCTATATCCATGATAAGAGGTTAAGGGATACACAAAAATAAAAGAGGTAAAATATGATATCCAAAACATAAAACATGGCGGGGGGGGGGGAAGAAGTGGAGTAAAAGTGTAGGGCTGTTATTAAGAGTTAAAATATAAGAGACCATCAACCTAATATATGTCATTTACATAGGTTACTATATATGAACCCCATCTATATTCCTCAAAACAAAAACCTGTAACAAATATACAAAAAATAAAGAGAGAGGAACTCAAACATAACGTTAAAGGAAATCATCAAATCACCACAGATGAGAACAAGAGAGGAAGAACAGGGAAGAGCTACAAAAACATCCAGAAAAAAAGTAACAAAATGGCAATAAGTACAAACTGATCAGTAGTTACTTTAAGCGTAAATGGACTAAAATCTCCAATCAAAAGACACAGGTTGGGGGCTGGCCCGGTGGCATAGTGGCTAAGTTCACATACTCTGCTTCACTGGCCCAGGGTTCACCGGTTTGCATCCCAGGCATGGACTTGCATATGGCTCTTCAAGCCATGCTGTGGTGGCACCTCACATACAAAATAGAGGAAGATTGGCACAGATGTTAGCTCAGTGACAATCTTCCTCAAGCAAAAAGAGGAAGATGGGCAACAGATGTTAGCTCAGGGCCAAACTTCCTCACACACACACACACACACACACACAAAGGTATAGGTTGGCAGAATGGGTAAAAAAACAAGACCCATATATGTGCTACATACAAGAGACACACTTCAGACCTAAAGACACTCACAAACTGAAAGTGAAGGGGTAGAAAAAGATATTCTGAAGAGAAATTTGGGGTATCAATACTTATACCAGACAAAACATAGACTTTGAAACAAAGCCATAACAACAGACAGAAAAGGGCATTACATAATGATAAAGGGAAAAATTCAACACAAGGACATAACACTCATAACTATCTATGTGACCAACATAGGAGCACCTAAATAAATAAAGCAAATACTAACAGATGTAAAAGAAGAAATTGACAGTAAAATAATAATTGTGGGAGACTTAACACTCCACTAACATCAATGGATAGGTCAATAAGGAAACATTTGCCTTCAATGACACATTAGACTAAAGGCACTTAGTAGATATATACAGAACGTTCTATCCAATACCTGCAGAACACACATTCTTTTCAAATCCACATGCAAAATTCTCCAAGATAGATCACACAGTAGGCCACAAAACAAGTCTCAATAAATTTAAGAAGACTGAAATAATACCAAGCATCTTTTCTAACCACAGCAATATGAAAATAGAAATCAACTACAAGAAGAAAACTGGAAAAGCCACAAATAAGTGGAGATTAAACAAAATGCTGCTGAACAACTACTGGATCAATAAAGAAATCAAAAGAGAAATCAAAGAATCAAAAAATACATGGAGACAAATGAAAATATGCCCAAATTTATGGGATACAGTTAAAGTGGTACTAAGACAATACAGGCCCACCTTAAAAAAACAAGAAAAATTGTAAACAAACTATCTAAAAATACAGCTAAAAAAACTAGAAAAAGAACAAATGAAGCCCCAAATCAATAGAAGGAAGGAAATAATAAAAATCAGAGTAGAAATAAATGAAACAGAAATTAAAAAGACAACAGAAAAGATCAATGAAACTAAGGGCTGATTCTTTGAAAAGATGAAATTGGCAAACCTGTAGCTAGACTCATCAAGAAGAAAAAGGAGAGTAGTCTCAAATAAATAAAATCAGAAACAAAAGAGGAGAAATTATAATGGACACAACAGAAACACACAGGATTATAAGAGAATACTACAAAAAGCTATATGCCAATGAATTGGATAATCTAGAGGAAATGGATAAATTCTCATAATCATATAACCTTCCAAAACTGAATCAAGAAGAAATAGAGAATCTGAATAGACTGATTACTAGTAAGGAAATCAAAACAGTAATAAAAAACCTCCTAAAAAAAAAAAGTCTTGGACCAGACAGCTTCCCTGGTAAATTCTACCAAACATTCAAAGAAAATTTAATGCCTATCCTTCTCAAATTCTTCCAAAAAATTGAAGAAGAGGGGACAACAACCCAATTAAAAAATGGGCAAAAGATCTGAACAGACATTTTTCCAAAGAAGATATACGGATAATCAACAGGCCCATGAAAAAAAGTTCAACATCACTAATTATTAGGGAAATGTAAATCAAAACTACAATGAGGTATCACCTCATGCCTATCAGAACGGCTATTATTAAAAGGAGAAGAAATAATAAGCGTTGGAGAGGATGTGGAGAAAAGGGAACGCTTATACACTGTTGGTGAGAATGCAAACTGGTGCAGCCACCATGAAAAAAAGGATGAAGATTCCTCAAAAAATTAAGAACGGAACTACCATATAGGCCAGCTATTCCACTTCTGGATGTTATCCAAAGAATATGAAAACACTAATTCAAAAAGGTATTTGCACCCCTATGTTCATTGCAGCATTATTCACAATAGCCAAGACTTGGAAACAACCTAAGTGCCTGTCAAGGGATGAATGGATAAAGAACATGAAGTATATACATACAACGGAATACTACTCAGCCATAAGAAAATATTGCGTTTATCTTTTTGTGACAACATGGATGGAACTTGAGGGCCTTATGCTAAGTGAAATAAGTCAGAGGGAAAAAGCCAAATACCATATGATTTCACTCATATGTGGAAGAGAAAAAAACAACAAACAAACACATTGACATAGAGAATAGATTGGTGGTTACCAAGGGGAAGGTGGGAGGGAGGAGGGCAAAAGGATTAAAAGGGCACATCCATACAGTGACAGACAGTAATTAGACTTTGGGTGGCGAACATGATCTAGTCTACACAGAAATCAGAGTATAATGCTGTATACATGAAACTTATATAATGTTATAAACCAATGTTACCTCAATAAAAACAATACATCAACTAAAAAAATGAATCATGATTAACTTAAAACACTTGGTTTATCAGAATACATCACGGTATAAGATTTGAGAAAACAAAAGCCCCATCACAACTAACACTGAATATCACTAGACCATCCTTTCCTTGCCATGTTATGCAGCACAACTACTGATCAATTAACTATTTATTCAACTATTTATCCATCATTCAAAAACATTTACCTGACCCTTATTGTGTGCCAAGTAATCTGTTAGTCGGGTTTGAGAATATTTGGCATTATCATAAAATACTTTTAATATAGATATATAAAGGATACATACACATACTATGTACTCTGTGCCTATGTATGTCACATACTCACAGCGTGCAACTGGGAAGAACAGTTTTATAATCAGAAAACATCAGGTTAAATATATGTCTGTAACAGTTAGAATTTTTGATTTCCAGCAATAGTAATTGCTCCTTGCTAACTCATTCAAAAGGAAATTTATTATGAGAACATCAGTACCAGAGAATCCGATCTGGAATTTGAAAGGTCAAGACCTGCCTTACTTTCAAAAAATTTTTAAATGCTATGTATTGTGCATAAATACCTATATATGTATAAAAAGAAACAAGTTTTTCATAGAAACAAAATTTCATTATAAGGTTGTCTTTGAAGGGAGGAAAATGGAACTGTTGAGGGGAGTACAGGAGACATTTAAAGACTTAATTTATTTCTTTTAAAATGATCAAAAGTAAACATGTTCCTTTAGTGGCAGGTAGAAATAATTCATTTTTCTATAATATAATCCTACAGTAGGAGAGTCAAATGTTAATGAATCACTAAAAAGACTACACTTTATTTCATCAACAATGAAATTGATTAATATATTCTACTTGCATTCTCCCTGTTTGATTTACAACTTCAAAAGCTAACACATTGTTTTAAATCTCCAAAATGTTACTGGTAGGTTGACTAAATATTATGCATACTCCTAAGTATTAAAGTAAGGGAAGGGGACACAGTTTAAATGAATACCAATCAACTGTGTTGTGTACAGTTTAATAATTCCTTTGGGAAATAAAGAGCAGGTCAATTTTCAAAGACAGTGAAACCTTTAAAGATACGTTAATTTCTTATAGTTGAAACATTTTTGTAAAACTAAGTAACAATCTGTAAAATGGTATCCATTCGTTTATTCACTTACCTCAATATTTTTTCTTTTATATTCATTCAGAGCTTCAAGTTCCTGGATCCACTTTGAGTCCAACAGAGGAGCGTGTTCAGTCATGTAGTCTACGTCTGCCTGAAGCTTTGCGTTAGCTTCTTCCCATTTTCCCTTTTGTTCCTCAACTTGTTTTAGTTGTTGAGACTTATCTTCAAGATGCCATCGTAATTCTATAATATCTCTCAAATAGGCCTCATGTTCTAGATGTACAATGATAAGAACAAAAGAAAATCTGATTTTAAAACAAAAGCTCCGGAAGGAAATCTTTTGATAATAATAGAAAAATAAAAAATATTTGTTTCAAAAGTTATTTTTGTGTGTATCTTCCTAAATTTAAAATAAGCTATTTTAGTATTGCATTATAAAATATATTGATTTCTTCATTCATTATTGAAGGGATTAAAATATATATTTTATAAGTTAATAATTAGTTTTATACAAATCCCATTTATTATAATCAATGTCGATACTGGGTTATATATAACCACTCTTTGTAATTCCAAAGTAAGAAAAATCACAAGAGTAGAGGCCTTCCAAAACCACCTAGAAATAAAATGATGAAATAGGAGTTACAAATATCAGAATGGACAAGGCAAAAGTGATTATTGTTTTCTGATGATATAATAATATAGCAAAACAAATAAAAAATCAACCGAAAATTATTACAATTGATAAGATAGCTCATATAAAATTAATACACAAAACAAATATTAATCTTTATAAATCAATTATGTTGAAAATAGAATAATCTCACAACAGCAAAATTAAAACAAACTAAAATGTATAAATCTAGCAATAACCATTTCCATTATTCTCTTTTTTCATTATTCTCTTTCTAATGAGCCAACATCTAGCTTTGCAAATCTTCTGAATTATAAATTTTTATTATCTTACCATTTTGTTATTGATTTCTCCTTCCTTTCTTTGTATTTATTTTGCTTTTATTCTTCTAAATTCTAAACTCATATATTTCAATAATTATGAATCTCTCCTTTTTGATGTAACAAAAGCTACTGATTTCCCTTTAAGCAATGATTTAACTTTTTCTCACATATGTGAAGATAATTTTCATAATACTTTTAATGATTCATTCCTAATGTGTTCTGATTTCTTGAATACGTGCAGTGTTTGACACCATCACTTTCTTACTTTATCCTCACCAGTTAGACAGTAGTATTTTTGTTTTAAAAAGTCAGTCATTATTTTACTAAGTATTACTATTATTATCTCCATCATGGTCTTCTATTAGATATTCCTTATTTCTTCTCATTTTATACTCCATGCTTTTAAATATTTTACTTATATTTTCCTTCTATTTGTGTGGCTGTGATGTATTCCATGCAATTTATTCAAATTTTACAGCTAAATATTACTTTTCTCTTTTTATTCTCATAAACCATTTAACCAACCACTGAGTTAATTTTAAGTAATATATTTTTCATTTCCATTTTTGCTTTCTTTTAAAAATAGTCTCTTAGTCCTTGTTCTTATTTTCAAACTTGTCTCTTTTATTCCTTGAAACATATTAAGCACATTTATTTTATAATCTCATGTGTAATCCAATATCCAAAAACTTTTTGAGTAAAATTCTGCTGTCTGTTTCTACTGATTCACACTCATTGAATCTGGATCTTTGCGTGTTTTACGATATTTGATATTGAGCTACTCCTTATCTTGGAACTTCATCTGAGATAATTCCCTGGTGCCTAGATTGAAGTTTTAGTCTTCCAGAGAAAATCTGTCTTTGCTCCTGCAGATTCCTGGCTTTACTACCAACCCACGGAACTTTTAAATGACATTCTCCATGTAACCATTTTCAGACAACAGACAGCAGAAATTTCACTCACAAACCTATTTAGGTCAGTACGCTACGAATTCTCAAGGAATATTGTTTGTTTTCCTCCATTGACTAAGTGAAACAAGCAACTTTCTTTGCTGTTGAATCTAAGCAACAGGTTTATTCACAATTCACATTTATGCTACGGATGGGGACCTTTCATGTCATGACTTCTAATTAACTTTGTCATTGGGTGAACCTTAGGCTTTATTTCCAGTCTCCTGTACCAAATAGATATATCAAAATGGGGACTTGAGGATATCAGGATTTCAGGGACTCCTTCAAATCTGAATCTGACATTGATGCCTTTGTTGTTGTTACATGCCGTCAAGTTGGCTCTAACTCCTGGCAACCCTATGAATGAGTGGTATCCACAATGTCCTGTCCTCAACAGCCCTACTCAGCTTCTGTAGACTCATGCCAATGGGCTTCCTTTGTGGAGTCAATCCATCTCATATTTGGTCTTCCTCTTTTCCTGCTGCCTTCTACCTTTCCCAGCATTATCGTCTTTTCCAAAGAATCCTGCCTTCTCATGATGCGCCCAAAGTAGGACAGCCTCAGTATTATCATTTTTGCCTCCAGCAATAGTTCAGACTTAATTGATGCCTGCTTATTGCCAAAAAACCCCATTCCACACTTAAATGTTAGTCTCAGGGCATTTCTTAATTTATTGAAAGCTTGCCAGGGTATTTTACATGATTTGTGAAAATCAAAATACATGACACAACTTGACAATTGGAAAAAGACCTTTGATATCCTTTGTTTCTTCTCTGATTTCATAGTAGAAATCATACTTGGGGATTTAATACCCTACTGTCAACAACTCAATGAACAACTATGCAGAAAATCAGAGACGGAAGACTTGAACAGCATTATCAAACAACTGGACCTAATTGATATTTATAGACACTCTACCCAACAATAGCAGAATATACATCAATTTTGACCACACGCAGAACATTCTCCAGATAGATAAAATGCTAGGCAATTTTTAGCGTAAATAATTTTAATATGATTGAAAGAATTAAAAAATTTTTCTAAGCAGAAAAAAATTACATTAGAAATCAACAGAAAGAAATTTGTGAAGATCTCAAAATATTTACAAACTAAACAGCAACTTCTAAATAAATTATGGGCCCAAAAATAATCACTAGAGAATTTACAAAATATTTTTCAACTAAGTACAAAAGAACTCACAGCATATGAACATTTATGAAAAGCAACAAGTACAGGAAATTCATAGCTTTTAAATGCCTATTCCAGAAAAGAAGAAAAGTATCAAGTAAATAATCAAAGCTTTCATTTCATGAAAAGAGACATAGTGGGTTAAATTATTCCCAAAGCAAGCAAGAGAAAGGAACTCAGAAAAGAAATTGATTATACCAAAGCTGGAAAACAATGAAGAAAAGTAAAATTGACTTTTTTAAAAGATCAACAAAATTGACAAAACTTTTGGCAGACTAACCAAGAAAAAAAGAGAAAGTAGAAATTACTAAAATCAAGAATGAAAAAAATGTCATCTCTATTGCTATTAGAGAAATTAAAGTAATTATAAGAGAATATTATGAATTAGTTTATGCTGACAAATGAGACAAGTGAAATGACATGGACAAATTCTTCAGAAGACACAAATTATCAAACCTGACTCTAGAAGAAATAGAAAACAGGAGAAATCTAAAACCAGTAAAGAAACTGAATTAGCTATTAAGAATATGCTGACAGCTTTGGACCTAAACAAATGCACATGGATAGAAAACTCATTAACTGGGACCTGGATAGAAAAACAATGACCTAAAGGAAATAAAAATCCCAAACTTGAAATATATGAATATTTAGGGATTAAAACTTTAGCTAAGAAATTAATATGATAACTGGTCTAGAACCAGTAAAACCCATAGGATCCTAGTAGAGTCAAAAAAGCAGCCAAAAGGGGCTGGCCCCGTGGCCGAGTGGTTAAGTTCGCGTGCTCTGCTGCAGGCGGCCCAGTGTTTCGTTGGTTCGAATCCTGGGTGCGGACATGGCACTGCTCATCAAACCACAGTGAGGGGCGTCCCACATGCCGCAACTAGAAGGACCCACAACGAAGAATATACAACTATGTACTGGGGGGCTTTGGGGAGAAAAAGGAAAAATATAAAATCTTTAAAAAAAAAAAAAAGCAGCCAAAGGTTTACTGATTTCTATAGAAAATAATAACAAATGAAGATGAGATCACTATAAAATGTGTAGAAACCATAGTAAAAACAACTCAATATCAGGGAGGGTCATCTGAAGCAAGATAAGAGAGATTCACTTGTTGTTTACTATCTTCCCCCTTGGGATAGAAATATGTTCTTGTCACATAGATTCTTGGTTTGGACGTGTCACTTATTTTGACTTGAGAATATGAGTAAAAGTGAAAGTATGCCAGTCTCTAGCTAACACCTTGAGGGGCATCCTATGTTTCGACTCACTCTTTTGTACTTTTGTCATTTGCCGTGTGAAAACCATACCCCTGGGAGGTGCTCGCCAAAGAGGATAAGAGACACATGAAGCCAACCTGAACCCAACAGTCTTGAGCCAAGCCCATTGGATCTGCAGCCTCCCTAGCCCACCCACAGACTCATGAGTGAAAAAAAAATGCTAGTGTAAGCCATTGAGTTCCAAGATGATTTGTTACAAAGCATTATTGTAGTAATGACTGATTAATTCACATAACAAAACAATGTAAAACAAAACAAAATTAGAAGATTTAACATTCTATTAATTCCTGAGATCTTCCTCCATAGTAAAGGTACTCTTTCAGCATTTATATGGGACCCAATTATCTTCACACTTCATCCTTTCTGAAAGGTCAAGTCCAAAACACTCTCCCACACTTATTTTCACCAGTCTTACATTCATGTTCTTTCCAACTCCTTGACCACTATTCCATCCCTTTTGCCACTTTTCATCTATACTTCAGGCCATTTCTCCTTCAAAGTGATTTGCCCTTATCTCTCCCATATTAAGATTGTAATACAGCAGCTCCCCAAATTAGGTCAACATACCATTCAAATCCATTCATAAACCATGGCTGTGATTTTTTTTCTGTTCCGTTATATGGTCATAGGGAAGGGCCCATGGAGCCATAAATGTACATTAAGGGAAAGACAGGGTATCTACAGAAGCAGGCACAATGGGAATACCAGGGGAATCTGAGTCAGTTTATTTGAGCCTTCAGATGCTTATGTAACATATGTACTGTTTTATTTTATAAGGAAACATCGCTATGCACATCCAATTTTATACTTTGTAGGATCATATAGCAGCCTGTTCACGATGAAAAACTTATTTCTGGTTATCTTTTTTAGTAGGGAAAGAAGAAGCATTGGTTAGATGATTGGCTGCCTATTGGGTGCAAAGGGCTGTCATTTTTGGGAGGGGGATGCAGAGCCTAAGCAGAAAGGAAGGTAGCCAGGGGTATAAATATCCCAGCCTCATTCTTCTCCATTATTTCCCATGGTCCCTTGCCACTGATTCCCATTGGTTGAACCCAGCAGAAAGAGAAAGTGCAAAACGTATCTTTGATGCTGCCTGTTATGAATCAGCCTCATGGGCCACAAAACAAAAGATACAAGAGTGGTTAGGGGGTGGATAGATCTGGACAAGTAACCATAAGATATCTAGAAAGAAGTGAATTTCCTTAATTTTAGCTAAAAAAAATTTTCTAAACTTCTACATACGACATACTTAATATTAAGGCTGTTAATGAGATTAAAAGTTTTTCCTGTCACATATGGTAGAGATTTTTGACAATCTAAAGATTCTAAAAATATATAATTCTATAATTTGTAAAGAAATTCATGAAATTTAGAGATTGTATGCTAAATATATCAATATAATGGCAGTATATTCCTGAAAGCACATTACTTTTCAAGAATATGTTACAAAAAGAAGGCATTTAAGTTAAGAAATATATAGTAATAATGAATTTAAATTTCAGTGCATGCGTTAGCTATTTAAATTAAAGCAGATGAACATAAATTTCAGTTAAGTAGAGTCTTAATAGTATTGAATAAAAGACAACCCAAGCAATAAATTATCACTAATTATAAGACTGTATTCCATCATTCAAAATGCATTTATTAGGCACCTAGAATGTGCATGCACATATCTCAATTTAATTTTTGGTAATTCCTTACGTAGAACTCCACTTAGACCCAAAACTATAATATCTAAGCACTCTTATAAAGGGTATATGAAATTATATACAGATTGATCACTAAAAATTCAATAAAATCAGCCCTCAACATTGACTTTTCTATTACTACTGACAAGGAAGGGCCTCCCAAACAGTCAGGAAAATTGCCGATGACTCCTTGTGGATGTGAATACGAATCTGCTCAAGAATCTGCTGGGATCCAGAATCTCCCAGGATGCCTATTCTGACCCTATTGTAGCCTCAATTGTCTCAAAACACAAATATATATGCATGTATGTATTTACAAATTACATACCTATGCTACTGTATCAGTGGAGTATGTACATCATAAACTATATTCAAAAACCTTGTGAATCAGAACTCACTCCAAGCCTGAATTATTTATTTTTATAAACAGCTGTAGACACCAAATATTTTAGAAAAAACATTACTTTAAAGTGTTGGTAGAAAAAGGTCTAGTCTTACCTGAGTTCAGAGTGATTTTTGCATAATTTTTACAGCTAACTCTTTCATAAAGGGTAACAAAGAGCATAGACAAAGGCTGGATTAAATTCATTCCCAGCCTAGGCTCTGGGCTCATCCCTGCTTCCAGAGTTTTGCTCCAGAAAGGAGCAGACAAATGGAGAGTTCAAGCTGTGAGCCCAGTGTTACTTTAAAAGGAGGAAGCAGCCATTGGACCTACATTCAATTTTTTTTTATTAAAATAACATAATTCAGGAACTATCAGATAACTGTATCTTGTCAGATGCAACAAAAAAATTAAAACCCAAATCATCTAGAAAAAAATTAGAAAAAGAATAAAATTTAAAAATATAAATAAGAGTTCTGGTGTTTTCTTGCAACTCCCTGAAATGTGTATACTCCACTTTGGAGACTACAGTTTTTAGAAGACTTAGAATATTATAACAAAGGTGTATGTATGGGTTCAGCTTGACACATAATTTAAATTAATGGCCATTGTCCCAGAGTAATAATTAATAACTCTTCTTTTTCTCTCAAAGGTGTCTTGATTTAAATAGGTTATATGGGCACCCTAATATAACCCATTTATAAAATGCGTGAAGCCCGAATTAAAATTTTTACCCTATGAGAGTGCAAAAACTTCCAGAATCAGGTAGTCAGGCGTGTTTGATAGGCACAGTGTTTGGAGAATAAAAAGTCCAATACCTTTTGATTGTTTGGTACTTTACCACAGGTCCCTGACTCTGAAGTCTAAAAGATAACATTTCCTTATTAAACATTTGTTAACTGCATGACTCTTGGAAACATCTTAAGTTTCATTACCTGCCAAAGTTCCCAAAGAAAACTTACCATTGAATTCTCAAAAGCAGATTCATGTGGTTCCCAAAACATCACTTAGAACTCTTATGATTTCCTAGTTTTAAAAATGTGGCTAATGACATCAACGGGCAATCACTTTAAATTCCTAAATTTCTAGTAACTGAAATACTGTAGTCAGTTACAGGAAATATTTGCCAAATGTTTGCATGCTCCTTGGGTGTCATAAATCTCATGGAGTTTCCAACAAATACCGAGTGACAGCATGTCCGGGTTTGCTCACTGCAGTCCCCGTTTACGTCTGCAAGCTCAGCATTATCACTTACAGCATGTGTCAAAAGTGCACTGGATGCAAAGTAGTATTTTACATTCATTCTAAACAGAGGTAATTTTTTTATTCAGAGCTTCAATTGATTATCCACGCCTCTCAAACAAAGTAAATGGCAATATGAAAAATCCTTATTATTACCTTTCTGCACAGCTAACGGGATTTCTTGAAGTTTCCAGATTGACCAAGAATCAATTTTCATGTTAATCTTTTTCCTTCTTGATCTGTGTCGTTTTAAAGCTTCTTCAGCTTCTGCACGGTCAGTTTCAAGACTTTTAATGAGATGGATGGCCTCTGAGAGCAATGTTTCCATTTCCTGCTTTAATTCTGGACACTTTTCATCTTAAAATAGGAACAGTATTTACATTTGTTAATGAATGAGCCTACAAACCAGGGGGCAGGAACATGGGTACTAGCTGTATCGCTATTCTTTTTACTATATATATATTTAATAAAAGAATTTTAGAAAAATGAATTAGCCTTTTAAAGACAGTTTTATTATAATACAGTCATATTGATTATAACCTTTGAAGAAAGATTTTAAACAAATATTTTATAAAGTAATTAGAATAGCTAAATCTCAACCAATATCTTCATGCATAATATAATTTTATCTGAAGGAAAAAAATATGTTCTATTCAGAAGCTGTGTTATAGAGTTTTATTTTTAAATTATGCTTGTGTTTCCCTCCCATTCTATGAGAAAAGCAAATCATAATGATTGCATCAGATAAATATTGAAAAATCCTCAGATGATTCCTAGAAAGAAGATACAAAGGATTGTGTCTTATCGGAAAATAACATCCCTAGTTAGCCTTGCTTGAAATTCATTGTTGTTTCCAGATGCTATTTATTCAGTTATAATACAAATTAACTCCTTTATTGAGAGATATTTGTGATTCCTGGTTCACAGATCTGGAATGATATGGTTTAATGTTAACAAAATGATTAACATGGGTATTCATTCATCTATTTATGCAAAAACGGGGAGTGAGCACCTTATGTTGTAGGCAATGTGCTTTCTCCCTGGAGATAGATCAGTAAGGAAGACCGATATGGGCCCCACCACGGTTAGACTTGTAAACCGACTTTTGCCAAAATGTAACACGACAAGAAGACACAAACAAACACAGGGTCAAGAAAGGTAAAACCCCCAAAGAGCTGAGGCTGGAGGAAAAACAGCAAAACTGGATCAAGAAGAAAGACAACTGAAAGACCTTTGTTTTGTTTTGCCTTTGGACAGTAAAGACAATGACTTTCTGCTAGAAGCTAAGTATTACATAATGGTTAAAAGAGCAAGCTTAGCTGTCGCATACTTTGGTCAAAGAAATTCAGTATGTTGCCTGAAAAGAATTCTTAAGAAACAGGTTTCCCTATTGTAATGCATAAAAATTATCTTTTTCTGGTTTGGTCCTTTATTTGGTCTCTGATTATTTGGTCTATTGTCTTCTTTTATTCAAATTCCACCACATCCTGAACACTTCATATTCTTAATTGTCTGTTTCTTAATGACACGCACATATTGAACATGCTGTTCTCCAGCTAACTTATGTTCCATTCAATTTATATAACAAGATCTCAGTCTGGAACACACAATGAAGTCAATACCACTTAAAATTAAAGCACTTCTGATTGGATATACATGTGTTTTAACAAAGATATCCATTATGTTCGTACGAGACTTCTTTTATACTGTTTCTATGATAGGATTCTAAAATAAACGCTGTGTATATAATTTGGGGGGCCTCCAATTCATTGTATTTAATATCTCTCTCGATTTTTTTCCAGAATACCATCTCAATTAGTTTTACCGTTTCACACTAAGTCAGCAACCACTTTCAAATTTTTTTAGCATAAATACTTAATTACAATAAATTTTCCTCATCCTGATACTGTCTTGTATTTTAGAGTCAAATGTATATATTTATAATAAACATAATTGTAGTTAATGTAACTGTTATTGTGCCCATTAATATATTAATTTTTTCTTCTGGCATTTATCTGAAAAATTAAGAAGTAATGAATGAGGTTTTCTTCTTCCTTGTAGACATAAATTGTGAAAAGGACAATAAAAACAGAGCCTCACTATGAATGACAACTTTGAATAACAAAATATTCATGCTTTCAAAAAGTCTTGAGTTTATTAGTTATCTTTCACTAAAGGAAGGTGTTTAACAAATTTTTGTGGCGAGGAGAGGAGAAGGTGTTTAACATAACATCAAGAATATATTCAAATGCGGTGAGGTAATTTTAACACAAATTTTATACCAGTATATAAATTAGCTTACATTTTGTAAATTGTGACAAGAATACTAATCTTTCTTTATATATCTGGTAGAGCTATGATGTCCAATATTGTAGCCATGAACCACATGTCACTATTTACATTTAAATGTAAGTTAAAGTTAAACTTTAAAAGTTAAACTCCTCATTCTCATTTGCCACATTTTAAGTACTCAATAGCTGTATGTGGCTAGTAGCTAGTGCATCAGACAGTGCAGATACAGAACACTTTGATTATCACAGAAAGTTCTACTGGACAGAACTGAACAATAGTTAGCTTTTTGAGAGGTAGGTAGGGATCATTATATAGTCAGGACCTAGAGAAGCACATGGCGTATAACAGAGATTAATAAAAACTCATTGAATAAATGTTTAACCAAATAATATAGACGGTTCTTTCCTCTATTAGACACTCATAAGCATTATAAAACTATTTAATGTAATTACTGTGAAAATTAGAAATATATTATATGAAAAGTCAATGAGTTTTTAAATACAATTACACTTGTCTAAGTATGAGGTACAACTCTACCTCTCTCTTCTTCTGGTTTGACTTCTTTCGCTGGTGTAACAATACCCCAGTCTTGTCTCAGGTCTTTTGTGGAAGCAGCGCTGCTCCTGTGTAACGGGAAAGAAGAAACCAATCAATAACGGAGGACCATACTTAAAGTTAGTAAAACAAATTTTAGGTGATGCTCTTACATTGAATTTTAAATGTTTGTGGTGAAGCTTACTATATATGTTAATTCTACTATATAGGAGATTAATATAGCAAAATTCTAATAGGTAAAGAGCTTTATATTTTATGGTAAATTAATAGAAATTTAAAATTTGTTACCAATGACCTAAAAATTTCTGAGAGGATATTAAAGCAATATTTTTTTTTAAATAAAAGTGGTCATTCCTAGAGAGCTTTGCCACCAGAAAAACAAAGTTTATTGAAAATAATTTGAATGAGCTATTGCTCTAATTTCAGTTTAGCAGTTTCGGGAAACCAAAATAAATTAAGAGGGGCAAAATACTATTTCAGATTTGAAGTTAATAAAGTTTTAGAAAAATGTCCAAATTAAAACGTTATTTATTTTCTAAAGAATCTTTCTAGCTAAAGTTCTTTATGTTGAATCATGAAATAGTTTTCATTATTTCTCTAGTCCAATTCTTGAATCCTACACTGATTTCTACTGAATTTAAAAAGAATTATTTTTCCTCTGATAAAAGTTATAAGAAAATCAGCATCAACAACAAAACAGGGAGTTTCATTTTTATTAAATTTTATTATGTTTTCTTATTAAAGAAGAGTTACAAATTACAAATTAAAGAAAGTTGTATACACACCAAAAATCATAAAAAATATAAAATAATCCACATTAATTCACTCTTTTCAGATATAACATAAAATTCTAGTGATATTTCAATTTTTATAAAATTAAGGTCATAAAATTTTGTGCTGCTTTAGTTACATGACTTTGTTTCCTTTGTATTTGACTACCATTTGATATTGCCATTTAATATTTCATATTATTTGTCTAATTGCTATTCTACAACTTAGGTAAGCCTATCTATTCTGAGGTGAGGGAAATAATCATATTTTCTTCCTTTAGTTTTAATTGCATTATTAAATATTTTTGTTGAATAATGTAATGTATTTTTTCTTGTTTGCTTTTAAAAAGAGAAAACTAATTTTCCCAGCATCTATTGTGAAATAATGCTCTCCCCGCTGACTTGTAATGTCAATTACATGATATAGTAAATTATTATACATAATTAGATCTATTTTTGTGTATTGTACTCTAAAACTCAGTTAACTTTTGGACCAGTATAATTCTGTTTTAATTGTTATATTTTTTTATTGAGGCAAAAGTCACATAACATAAAATTAACGATTTGGAACTGTAAACTTTAATGGCATTGAGTATGCTCAATGTTGTACACTCATCATCCCCAGCTAGTTCCAAATATTTTCATCATCTCAAAAGAACATCCTCCATTTATTAAGTAATCTCTCTCCTTTCCCTCTCCTACTAGCCGCTGGTAACAACTAATTTGCTTCCTATCTCTGTGGAATTACCTACTATGGATATGTCATATGAATGGAATCATACAATAACGATCTTTTGCGTCTCACTTCCTTAACTTAGCATAATAGTTTAGAAGCTTATCTATGTTGTAGCATGTATCAGAACTTCATTACTTTTTATGGTTGAATAATATTCCATTGGATAGATAAACCACACTTTGTCTATTAGTCGTTTGAAGGAATGAGGTTGTTTCCACCTTTGGGCTATTATGAATACTGAAAATATGAACATTTGTATACAAGTTTTTCCTTGAACATCTGTTTTGAAATCTTTTGGGACCAGCCCAGTGGTGTAGTGGTTAAGTTCTTGCACTCCACTTTGGCAGCCTGGTGTTTGCGGGTTCGGATCCCAGGCACAGACCTAGTACCACTCATCAAACCACACTGTGGTGGCATTGAGGATAAAATAGAAGAAGAATGGCACAGACGTTAGCTCAGTGAGAATCTTCCTCAAGCAAAAAGAGGAAGATTGGCAACAGATGTTAGCTCAGGGCCAATCTTCCTTACAAAAAAAAACCCAACAACAACAAAGAAGTGTTTCATGTATATCCTTTGAAGTGGAATTTCTAGGTCATATGATAATCCTAGGTTTAACTTTTTGAGGAATCACCAAACTGTTTTTCACAGTAGCTGAACAATTTCGCATTTCCACTAGCAATGTATGAGGGTTCCAATGTTGAATAAAAGTGGCAAGATTGGTCATCTTATCTCATTCCTGATCCTAGGTTGAAAACTTTCAGTCTTCACTGCTTACTATAATGTCAGTCAAGGGTATTTCATAAGTGTCTTTTATCACATTTTGGAAGTTCCCTTTCAAGCCTAGTTTTTTGAGTGTTTTCCATTATGAAAAGGTGTTAGATTTTGCCACATGCTTTCCACAAAAATTGAGATGTTCACATAGGTTTCTTCCCTTCATTTTATTCCTGCAATGTGTCACATTATTGGTTTATGTATGTTGAACCACCCTTACATTTTTGGGACAAATCTTACTTGGTCATGATATATAATTCTATTAATATGTTTCTGGATTCAGGTTGCTAGTATTTTGTTGAGGATTTGTGTATCTATATTCATACAGTCATTGGTCTACATTTTCTTTTCTTGTGGTGTCTTTATCTGGCCTTAGTATCAGGGTAATGCTGCCCTCATAGAATGAGTTAGGAAGTGTTCCCTTCTCTTCTACTTTTAGAAAGAATTTTAGAAGGATTGGTATTAATCCTTATTTAAATGTTTAGTAGGATTCACCAGTGAAGATATCTAGTCTTGGGTTTTTCTTCGTTCGGAGATATTTGATTACTGATTCAATCTCTTTAATTGTTACAGATCTGTTTAGATTTTCTAATTCTTCCTGAGTCTGTTTTAGTAGTTAACGTGTTTATAGGAATTTGTCTATTTCATCTTGGTTTTCTAATTTGTTGGCATACAACTGTTCATAGTATTATCTTATAATCCTTTTTATTTCTGTAAGGTATGTAGTAGTGTCCCCAATTTTTTAAATGATTTTAGTAATTTGAGTCTTCTCTTTTTTTTGTCAGTCTAGCTAAAGATTTATGAATTTAGTCAATCTTTTCAAAGAAACAACTTTTGTTGATTCATTGATTCCATTTATTGTTTTTTTACTCTTTATTTCACTTATCTCTGCTCTAATCTTTATTATTTCTTTTCTTTTGCTAGTTTTAGCACACTCATTATTTTCTAGTTCTGTAAGGTATGAAGTTAAGTTACTGGATATGGGATCTTATTTTTTACGTAAGCATTATGGCTATAAATTTCCCTCTGAGAACTTCTTTTGCTGCATTCCATAAGTTTTGGCACATTGTATTTCCATTTCATTTATCTCAAAGTATGTTCTAATTTCTCCTATGATTACTGCTTTGACTCATTGGGTTTTATTAAATTGTATTGTTTAATTTCTACATATTCATATGAATTTTCTAGGCTTCCTTCTGTTGTTGATTTTTAATTTCATTCCACTGGTCAGAGAAGACACTTTGTATGATTTCAATCTTTTTAATTTTATTGATATTTGTTTTGTGGCTTAACATATGCTTTATCCTAAAGAATGTTCCATGTGAATGTGAAAAAAATTTGTTTTCTACTGTTGTTGAGCGGAGTGTACTATATAAGTCAGTTAGGTCTAGATGATTCTAGTGCTGATCAAATCTATTTCCTTATTGATTTTCTTTCTAGTTCTTTTATCCATTATTGAAAGTGGGGGTCCTGAATCCTCAAACTCATATTATAGAATTGTCTATTTCTCCCTTAAATTCTGTCAGTTTATACTTCATGTATTTTGAGGTTACATTGTTTGGTGTGTATATGTTTATAATTTTTATATCTTCTTGAGTGAGTGACCTTTTTATCAAGATACCAAGTATTCTTTGTCTCTTTCAATATGTTTTGATGTAAGGTCTATTTTGTATGATATTAGCTCTCCTTTGGTTACTATTTTCATGGAATATATTTTTCATCCTTTCACTTTCAACCTACTTGTGTCTTTGGATCTCAAGTGAGTCTCTTAGAGACAGCATATAGTTGGATCGTATTTTTATCCATTCTACCACTCTCTACCTTTTAAATAGGACAGTTTAAGCCATTTTCATGTACAATAATTACTGATGAAGAGAGGAGTTACTTGTGCCATTTTGCTACTTGTTTTCTATATTACTTACTTGTTTTTCACTCTTTAATTTCTCCGTGACTGCTTTCTTTTGTCTCTAGTTAATTTTTTTCTAGTGTATTATTTTAGTTTCCCTCTTATTGGATTTCAGTATTTTTCATAGAATTTTTTTTAGTGGTTCCCTGAGGATTATAACAAACATCTTAACTTCATAAACATTAAGTTTGAATTTAAATCATTATAGTTTCAATAGTATTAAAAAATCCTGTTCCTTTACAGCTCTGCTCCCTCCTTTATGTTGTCATTTTCACAAATTTACACATTTATACAGTGTGTACCCATTAATATAGATTTATAATTTTAGTTTCCTCCATTTTTTGAATTATGTAGGAAAATAAAAGAGATACAAAATAAAAATGAAATTATACTGACTTTTTAATTTATCTTTGTAGTTACCTTTCTTGTTGTTCTTTATTTTTTCATATGGCTTCAAGTTACTGTCTAGTGTCCTTTCATTTCTGCCTGAAGGATGACTTTTAGAATTTCTCATAGGACAGCTCTGCTAGTTTTGGGGTTTTTTTGGTTTTGTTTTATTGAGAAACACTGGCCCTAAGCTAACATCTGTGCCAATCTTCCTCTATTTTGTATGTGGATCACTGCCACAGCATGGCTTGATGAGTGGTGTAGGTCTACACCTGGGATCTGAATCTGTGAATCCCAGGCTGCCAAAGCAGAGTGCGTGAACTTAACCACTACACCACTGGGCTGGCCCAGGTCTGCCAGATTTTGAAGACCTGAAGTCCCTCAGTTTTTGTTTATCTGGGAATATCTTAATTTCTCTTTTAGTTTTGAAGGACAACTTTGCAGGATTCAGAATTCTTGTTCAACAGCATTTCTTTCTTCCGGCACTTTAAATATGCACTTCCACTGCCTCTGGCCTCCATAATTTCTGATAAGAAATTGACTGTTAACTTTATTGAGGATGCCTTGTACATGATAAGTCCCTTTTCTCCTGCTACTTTCAAGATACTATCTTTGTCCCAGGCTTTCAACAACTTGACTATAATGTGTCTTGGTGTAGATCTCTGAGTTTGTTCTGCTTGGAGTTCATTGACTTTAGTGGAAGTAAAGATTCATGTCCTTCATCAAACTTGGGCAGTATTCAGCCAATGTTTTTTCTAATACTCTTTCTTCCCTTTTTGCTCTCTCCTGTCATTCTTGGACTCCTATTATGGGTATATCTGTATTCTTGATGGTAACCCTCAGGTCTATTAGGGTCCATTCATTTTTCTTCATTCTTTTGTCTTTCTGCTTCTCAGCCTGATTGATCTTGATTGACTACCTTCAAGTTCACTGATTCTTTCTCTGTCTGCTCAAATCTGTTGGTGAACATCTCTAGTTAGTTTCATTTCAGTTATTGTACTTTTCAGCTTCAGAATGTTTATATGGTTCATTTTTATAATTTATTTCTCTTTATTGATATTTTATATTTGTTGAGACATTAGTCTCCCAGTTTTGTTTTGTTCTTTGTCCATGGTTTCCTCTATCTCTCAAGAATATTGAAGACAGTTGATTTAAAGTCTTTGCCCAATACGTCTAATATTTGGGCTTCCTCAAGGGCCAGTTTTTATTAATTTCTTTTTTTTTTCTTCTTAATAAGACAAACTTTCTTTTTTGCTTTGCCTATCTCATAATTTTTGTAGGAAACTGGATATTTTAAACATGTTAATGTGAAATGGAAATAAGATCACACTCTCTCTATTGGGTTTGTTGTTGATGTTTGTTGTGGGTTGCTGTTATTTAGTGACTTTTCTAAACATTTTTTATAATATCTGTATTCTTTGTCAGTGTCAGTGGCCACTGAAGTAAGTGTTTCATTAGCTTACTGGTGAGCTTGTGTTTTGTTCAAGTTACTTTAAATACCTGAGCCAGAAAAAAGGAAAAAAAATACTCTCCTAATCTTGGCAGATTGGATCTGTGTTGGAGTACTCCTTCAATGCTTATCCAGGCTGTTTACAACTCTGCCTCTACCTTCAATTATTGCCTGTGCAGAGCCTAAAGGTTGGCCAGAGGTGAAAGATTATGGTCTTCTGGATCTTTCCTGAGCATGTGTCCTGCACTGGTCATCTGTGTGGACTTCTTGCTTCTCTACTATATGTGACAGCTTTAAAAAACCTTATTGCCTCGTATCTCTTTTTCTGACCTCATCTTTCCCAGGCATTTTGGTCTGTCTAATGCTTATCCTACCTGTTAATCCACGGCCTCAGACACTGGTGGCAAGTATATGCCTTTAAATGCTTTCAGCAAACACTGCCTGGAAGTAGCTCCAGCTCTGTGTTTGCTCCAATTCAGGCAAAATAAAGACAAGCCTTTATGCCAGTCCTTCAGGGAGTCGTCAGACAAGCTAAAACACTGAACTATAATTGTTTGAGAATAAGGTCCATATTGTTCCCTCCAACCCTAGCAATCTGTACCATAAGTGCAGGCTGCTCCCTCCATGGCCACCACTGGTCTGGAGGCTGGAAAATGGTAAGTGGGCAATTTAAAATGCCACAGTGCTCTCTTAACGCAATGCTGCAGACTCTTTCTTCATTAACTTTTCCTCTATTTGTAAGTTTTAAACTAGATTCCAGATATCTGCAAAAGTTGATTCTGACCCATTTTTGCCAACTTTATAGTTGTTTTTGTGGTGAGATACAGCCCAGGAGATCCCTATTCTGCCATTTTTGATGATGTCCAATTCTTAAATTTTTAAAAAGACATTTCAAATCTATTGTGAAAAATTCAGCTTTCAGATTCTGTTCCTTTTGAAATAAAACGTATCTATAGCAGATTAGTCATCAAAATTTGAACATAAAAAACATCTTAAAAGTATGAAAAGTTCTTACCATTCTTCAAAAGAAGTTTCAATCTGTAAAAATAAAATATCTTTATAAAAATAAAGTTTTAAACATCTTGAAAAACAATAGCAATCTTAACATACACTTTAACTCACTGATAAAACTGTAAATACTCCACTTCACATACCCCATTTTATTTTCTGTCAAATCACACTCTCTGTTGTTTCTAAAGCAGCTATATACTTCTCCTACCTATTCCCACCCTTTTATTATTATTTTCACCTAACTGTTCTCAGCTTTCATCTGTGTTTCTAAATCTTACCTTTTCAACAAGGGTCAGTTCAAATTCCACTTACTCGCCAAAACTTTCCATGCAATCAAAAGTGCACAACATCCATTGAATTTTAATATATTACCAAAGAGTGGTAAATACATAATTACATGTGAGTTCACAATTATTTAGTTTTCTATAGTATTATCTCTATTCTGGACTGTAAACTCTTTGGTACGAGTCATGTTCTACAGATAATATTCTAACAGTACCTTGGGCTATAAGGGGCATAAATTACCAAAACACAAGGAATATATAGTGAGCATGTTATGAGTTTCATAGCTAATCTCCAATTCAAGATGTTAGATTGGGCATACACAATTACTTCTCTTCAATTCTCATATCATATCAAAGTTTCTGGGGGAAAAATAATCGTGTGTCAATAAAAACACTGGAACATATTTTAGAAGATTTCCCAGAAACAGAAAGTAATCAGATGAGACTGATAGCAAAAACAGAGCAAAGAAAAGTATAACTCAGAAGAGACAAATGGAGACCATTTCAGGGGAGGTAAGGCTTCTCTGTGGAGAAAAGGGGAATTCCCACTATGTGAGAATAAACAGTTGATCCCCAAAGTAAATCATTGAAGGGCTGCTTGTGGTGAGATGGGCCAGTCTCATTGCTTTCCATCCCAAGAATCCAGAATACACGGCTGAGATGTCTTCTAACTATTGCCATGAGGAGAACTCTCTAACTTTTACATTTGAGATCTGTCTGAGAATGGAAGCTATGGTTCTAGAGAGAAATTAAATAAAGCCTAGATAACTTGGAGAATCCCACATAGACACAAACAGGTGGGTGAGGAAAAACAAAGGCAGATTCATCTACGAGTGCAATGTTCTAAGGTGCTGCAAACTCAGCATAAGCTTATTTAGGCCAAGTAGAGGCCCTCGACTTTCTTGCCTCACATGTTACTTCTCATTGACAAAGAGCCCCAGTAAAAAGTTTTATATATGGGGTAAATGCCTTTGATGCAAGCAGACTCTGATAGCTGCCAAAAAGCAAAGAAATAAAAACAGGAACTAAAAACCCCCAAAAACTTGTGGTAGCAACCAGTAATCAGTCTGATTCATCATGTATAAATACAAATAACAAAAAGAGAGTATACAAATATTTGAGGAAAGATTAGAGCATGGAAAATAAGAAAATTTACTTCAGATGCATCAGAAATACTGGAATGAACAAAAGTGAATATAATAATAAATTCAAGGCATGTATCTCTTTTTCTCCAAAATATTTAAAAATAGAAAAATAAAATTTAGTTTAAGAATATCATTATCCAAATATGAAATAGACTAAAATAAGTAATCATTTTAGTACCCATGTATAGATGCGAGAATTTAGTTTATTATAGATTTACATTTCAAATCAATGGAAATAAACAATTCAATGCATGATATAGAGATAATTTGAGTAATTTTTTGGAGAAGATAAAATGTCATATCTGCTTTATTCCATAAATAAACTTCAGATGGTTGGAGGAGCTAAATGAAAAGTAAATTAGAAATGATAAAACATTTTAATAATCTTGATATGAGGAAGATTTTTTTAAACAATACAAAAATCCCAGAATTTATCAGGTAACAGATTGGTTTACATATAAATTTCCTTAAGACAAAACTACTATAAATAAGTTAAAAGAGTGGTACAAGCAGAAGAAAAATTGCAACTAACATAAAATACAGCAAAGATATAAATATGTAAAAAGTAACAAACAATACAAGAAAAAAAACTGGGAAAACTACATAAACAACAACTACAGAAAACTAAATGCAAATGGGCAGAAAGCATCATAAAAGGTGCTCTAATTATATGTGCTAATTGATCTCCATATTTATATATTTATCTATATCTATGTACATGTACACACAATTATGTACACACAGACGTATATTAAGTGAATACTATATAGATTGATATGCTACAGAATCAATAGTTTAACATTATAGCTTTCATCAATTTGTGCTTCTCCTCCATTACCTCCAACTTAGTTCTCTCCTCTAAACAGGTTTTGGTGTTTGCTACACTGCTGGAATTTTCTTGTGCTGATAGTATAAAAGATTTGATGGAATCTGAAAAACTCCCAAGGAGACTAAATTCATCTACATAATAAAAACCTGATGAACACAATTGTTTGAAACCCCATTGGGTTTTTTCATGTAAAAAAAAGCTTATCCTTAAATTTATATGTACCAAGAATAGCCAAAGAAGTCTAAAGAAGAAAAAAAATATCGGATATTAAAATATATTATGAAGCATGCAAATTAGTGAAATGAGGTATTGTAATAGAGAGGTAAAATTAACCAGTGGAATGAAGGAACCAGAAATAGATCAATCATATATGAAAACTTGATATATGATAGATGTGGTATAGCTGATGTCTAAGAAATAACTGGATTTTCCAATAAAATTGATGTTGACAAAAATAATTTTCCATATTTTTAAAAATGAAGGTAGCCTATTCCATTCTTACACACAAAAAACCAGTTTCACAATGTTAGAAGTTAAATCTCAAGTGAAAATCTTCAAAATTTTAGAAGAAACAAAGGAAAAACTTTGTACGACCCTTCAGTATGGAAAGACTTGTTAAACAAGATGCAAAACACTTAAAGGGAAAATGATAAATTTAAGTACATTAAAATTAAGAACTTTTTTTACTAAAAAATATCATAAAGTAAAAAAAGTCAAACTGAGAGAATATGTTTAAAACATATATAACAAACTAAAGATAATAATTTGTTCCTACAAGTCAATAAGAAAATACAAATAAACCCAAAAGAAAATGAGCAGAAGATAAACAGGCAGAGAAGAGAAGGAACATTCGATGAATATATTAATACATTCTAAACTAATTAATAATCAGGAAAAAGCTATCCCTTGGTTTTGCTAACTCAGAGTCCTGCAAGTATAGAAAGCTCCCATCAGGCTGATTTAAATGAAGAAGCCATTTGAAGTGGAAGCATCACAAGAAAGCCAAGTGGAGATTGGTTGAGGCACGTTAATGAACTGGAACATAATTATCCAAAAAACTTCAAGTTCTCAACAAATGAGTAATGCTTAATCATTTGTTTTCAGTTTGATCCTCCTTATAGTGCAATAGAAAACGATGTTTTCATAATGATAAAAATAGGTTACCTAAATTTTTAGAAATAGAATTAAATTTGGTATAAGGAAACATTTTAGGATAATATACCAAAACTATACCCTAGCAACATTTTTGTAGAAGTAAATGATGAAACAATAAAAAACATATATTTTAATTGGTCTTTGATCTGATGTGAGGAGGCAAAATTTCAGGTACCTATTATTCAGATAACCAAGACACTTAAATGGTTAACATAGGAGAGGCCTATTAAACCAGAGAAAACTTGAGCTTTATATTCATAACTGCCTATCTGAAATATTTAGACAAGTTTTAGAAATCTCCCAAAGTCATTTTAAAGTATTTTTAATAAAATTCTTATTATAATTAAGCTTACAATTTCACTTATAGCCATAAAAATTTGAGATATTTAGAAACATTGATTATAATTTAGAACATAATCAATTTTATCCAACTGACCACAAAATCCTATGCATTTCTTATCTGTCTCCTTCAAAGAGCAAAGAGAAAGAAAGGTCAGGGGGACTAAGCATGTCAAATTGGACATACTTTAAGAAATTATCACACTATAGGGGAAATGAAACACAACTCCTAACCACATTGCCCACAAACTCCTGCTTGATACATATAACATTCTCATTGATCTGGTTCTTTTTATTGGAAATTATTACCAAACACTTTAAATATTTAAATGCTATGTAAAGTTTTGAAACAAAGTATTCATAAAACCTATTTTCCACTCTAAAAAATAAGAAAAAATTAACTTCATGTTAGGAATCTCCTTTTGTATTGTATAACATTTATAGATATGGAGTACTAGTACTGAATACTATTTCCCACAACTGTGACCTACTTTCATCTAGAAAGAATACTCATACGCTTGAATTTACAGTCCATTTGGGGTTTCCTATCGCAATCCTATTCAAAGGTCCAAATCATCCTGAAAACATAGCCAATATTTATCAAACAATATGCCAAATTCGAGAATTTTTAGGAACAAGTACATCCTTCCCATCTTTTAAAGATTTTATTTTTTTCCTTTTTCTCCCCAAAGCCACCAGGTACATAGTTGTATGTTCTTCATTGTGGGTCCTACTAGTTGTGGCATGTGGGACGCTGCCTCAGCGTTTTTTGATGAGCACTGCCACGTCCGCGCCCAGGATTTGAACCAATGAAACCCTGGGCTGCCTGCAGCGGAGCATGCGAACTTAACCACTCGGCCACGGGGCCAGCCCCATCCTTCCCATGTTTTAAAAAGCAACCTCATGCAAAACCTGACATAATTTAAAAAATTTTTCCTGAATCTATTCATTCAAAACTATTTACTTAATGCTTATAATCTGTCAAGTTCTGGTAGGTACTGTGGTTAATGGTGGTTTATATAGAGACTCTTACTTCCAAGATCTTACAATCCTGTGGAAGAGAGACAGACATAAAGAAACAACTTAAATACAATGTGCTAACTGTCACAGTAAAGGTCAGTGAAGCGTCACATGAACTTTCAAGGGAAGACAGTTACACTAAACTCGGGAGGGCAAAGATGGTTTTGTGGGAAGAAGTGAGGTTTAAACAGAGATAAGAGAGGAGCTGCATGGGTTAAGGCGCAGAGGTAAGAGAGTGAAAGCTAGAGCAGAGCA